TTTTTTTTTTTTTTTTTTTTTTTTTTTTTTTTTGTCTTTTGTCTTTTTCCGTGTCCGGCAATGGATCGGAACCCTCAGTGTTGCCCCCGTACCGGACCGGGGACCGGCAATGGGATTGCAACCCTTGGTGTTGCTCCTGCGCCTCGCTCAGCCAGTGAGTGGGAACCGGTCTGTATGTGGGATCCGAACCCTCGGGCGGGAGCGCTGCTGCGCTTCCCAAGCGGCGCACTATCCAGTGCGCCACCGGGCCGGCCCTATATAGTCAATTTCTATCATGACTTTTCCAGTGTATTTTTGCAGAGATTGTATTCCTTGCATGCAGTCACTGAAGTCTCTCTTCCTTTAGTTTGTGTTCAGCCATGGTTTTGACAGATTTCTTGAATGCCCAGGGGTAAGAAAGAAAAAGAAGAAAAAAACCTTAGCTCTTCTCATCTTTGCAAATGGCTTGTGCTGGGGCATTTCTTCAACACTCATCCAGGCTATTTAAAACTCTTCTTCAAGGGCCAGCCTGTGGCTCACTTGGGAGAGTGCGGTGCTGATAACACCAAGGCCACGGGTTCGGATCCTATATAGGGATGACTGGTTAGCTCATTGGCTGAGCGTGGTGCTGACAACACCAAGCCAAGGGTTGAGATCCCCTTACCGGTCATCTTTAAAAAAAAAAAAAAAAACTCTTCTTCAGAATTCACTTCCTGCCACAGTGTGCCTGGAGATGAACAGTGCAGAATATCAGTGTCTTCTCAGTTCTTTTCTGAAAATATGTCATTTCCTGGGCATGCACAGGGCTTCTCCATTACAGCTGAGGTGCTTGTGAATACTATAATTTCTGAAGGAAGTTTTATCTCCAGCCTGCCATAATTTTCTTTTAATCATTCTAAGAGTTCTTTTTAGTTTGGGCTCTTACTTTTAGGTCTTTGATTCATTATTGTTTCATATTTGTATCTGATACAAGGTAGAGGTTCAGCTTCATTCTTTTACCTGTGGTGTTTTCCAGCTCTGTTTTTTTAAAAGACTGTCCTTTACCATTGAATGATTTTGGGAGTCTTGTCAAAAATCAGTTTACCATATATGTGTGGGTGCCTTCCTGGGCTCTCTTTTCTACTCCGTTGGTGTATATCTGTGTCTTTTTGCTAGTACCACACTGTTTTGATTACTGTGCTTTTGAGTAAGTATTTATTTGAGGATTTTTTGCATGAGTACAGTCAGCTCTCCACATCTGTGGATTCAACCAACTGTGGATCCAGTATATATATATACACACACATACACATACACACACACACACACACACGTATGTATAAAGAAATCCTGAAAGTTTCAAAAAGCTAGACTTAAATTTTGTGAGAACCAAGTACTACTCTGAATATATGTGAATGAAGTGATGTGTAGGCATTGTGGTAGGTACTACAAGTGATCTAGAGATGATTGAAATTATACCCGAGGTTGTGTTTAGGTTATATGTAAATACTACCCCATTTTACATAAGGGACTTGAACATTCCAGGGTTCTGGTATCTGCAGAGGGTCCTGGAACCAGTCTTCATGCCCCTCCCCGCCATACTGAGGGACAACTGTATTCTTAATGGGATTTATCTGCAGTTCTTTTTTTCTGTTGTCTATCTTTGTTGTCAACATAATTTTGCTCTCATAGAATGAATTTGGACGTAGTCCCTTCTCTTTAGTATTTTGAAAGTTTGAGAAGGACTGATGTTAATTCTTCCTTAGATGTTTCATAGATTTCACCAGTGGAACTATTTAGTCCAGGGCTTTCATTTGTTGGGGTGTTTTGATTACATAGTCAATCTCCTAACTAGTTGTAGTTAGGCTCCGGTTTTCTATTTCTTCTTGACTCAGTCTTGGTAGATTGTGTTTCTGGACACGTGTCCACTTCTTCAGTGTCCCCCATCTGTTGGTGTACCCTAGAGACCTCTTAAGGCATGTCATTCTTTCAGTTTACTTCACTGTTGTTACACCAGAGCCCTACCGGTGTGACTTTAAGGTGTGGGGAACAGTTCATTGAACTGTAATTTGGCCTCATTTTTAGGAAGCCTGTGTCCCTGGGTTGACTTTCATAAGTACTTCTCATCCTCACCCCTCCTTAGGTGAGGTATGAAGGGTAGAGGGGAATGGAATTAGGTATTTCTCTTGACCCAGGCAGGAGGTTTGGTTCTGGTAACATCCCAGTTGGTTCGGCATTTGGGAATTTTTTCAAAAGTAGGACTTAAGAATAACAACTCTCTGGGCATATTTTTAAATGATTACTTTTCCCCTCCCTCTGCTGGAAAGCAGTAAGTGATTTTTCTCTGAGCTTCACTGTGAGAATTGGTAGGGTTTCTGGAAGTAAATCTCACAAATTTGTGGGTCCCCCTAAGACTGGGCCCCCTGGAGTTTTTTACCTCTCAAACTTGTCCACATTCAGCCTTCAGGAATTCACCAATTATAATTTTAATTTTCTGACCCCTGTGCTAATTCCCACACAGGTTTCTGCTTATGGCTTTTGGTTCCAGGAAGTTATGATTCTCTGCATCTGCCTGTTTGTCTTACCACATTTTCTTTGGGAGATTTATGGGATTTTATAGATTTTATAGCTGGCATCTTGGTGACATTGGGTTCTTTCCCCTTATTTCACTCTTCTTTGACATTACCCATTAAAAAATTTAAAATTGTTCCATTATATGGTTGAAATATCTTTCATTAGTTTTCTGTCATACTGAAGTAAATTTGGTCTACAGGAAACCAGGTGCAAACTTCCACATGTTCTCTCTTAGTATAATCACATAAGATGGGCTCAGTCCCCTGCGTAACAAGTTGTGACAAAACAAGTAAAATATTTTCTACCAGGAAAGCTCATTAAGTTTCTAGAGACTCAGTGCCCAGAGTGATTTTTCAGGGTTGATCAGGTGGGCTTCCTCTGCCAGGAATGTTACAACATTCCAAACTCTCAGAGTGAAGACAGGAGTTAAGCAAATGACGTATTAGTTAGGTTAGGTTGGCGAGGTCTCTCCCCAAATCCAGGTCCCAGGTACCATCAAAGGTCAAACTTTGAACAAGCATTTCTAGGGATATGCAGTCTCAGGACTGCTAATGTTAACTTTGTTCTGCACCCGAGATAGAAGGACTTTGTTGTGGCAGGTGCTGTAGGCCCACTGTACAAGAGACATTAGGAGTAATCCAGGCAGCACATCTTACTCTTTGAACTCACTAACGAAAGGCATATTCCTGGTCTGACATTGTTTTACCAAATAGTTCAATTCTAGCATCAGGATTGTTGTGTGAGAGGATGTGAGTATAGACAGAGTAGGAGTCTGATGAACAACTTATAGAATAAATGTTTGGAGTCCATAGCATTATGTGAACGTTTTAGGAAATGAAAGTAGATTCCAGTTCTGTCAGTCTCACCCATTCTCCTTTACACATATGTGGAATGTTTCAAGATCCAGTGGCTTTTAAAGATGTGGCTGTGAACTTTCCTGAGGAGGGGTGGGCTTTGCTGGATCCTTCCTAGAAGAAACTCTACAGAGATGTGATGGAGGAAACTGTAAGGCACCTGGCCTCTGTAGGTAAGGATGACATCATTCCTTCATTTACTGAGTTAGAGACAAGTGTTTCTTAGTCATCAAAGGTGTTTCACGATATGGAGTGTGGAAGGGAATACCTTGGTGAATAAATAAGGCATGGCTACAGTGTACTAAGAACCTAGAGACTAATAATATTTCTGTATTTTGTATTAATTCATGCTGAATTTTCTGGATCTCTACTTTAGGAAAAAATTGGAATGATCAGAACATTAATGATCACAAGAAAAACCAGAGGAGAAATCTAAGGTAATATGCACTTAGAAGAGAATCCTAAAAACAGCAAAGAAAACAAATAAGTCCAGCTTCAAATGTATTTATTATTAGAGAATTTTCTCCCAAAATATAAACTTAAATGTGACATAAATGTTCATGTTTGTAAAATAGTTGTCTTGGAAATAGTATTAAGAAACCCTACGTGAGTTTTACTGCTTTGATAATAGTGGTCAAGCAATCTTGCAGATTCATTCATTTTCAAACAATTCAGACTGTGCATAAATAAAGCCACACTTTCCCTGATAATGTTAGAAGTCCAATACCTATAAATAAATATAAACTCTGTTTGTAAACAGACCCTTAGTAATGTGCTTCTCTTTTTTTACAGAAGTCATATGGTAGAGAGTCTGTGAAAGTAAAGATGGTAGCCAGTGTGGAGAAACCTTCAGCCAGATTCCAGATGGCACTCTGAAGAAGAAAACTCCTCTTGGAGAACAATTCTGTGAAAGCAGTGTGTATGGAGAAGTCTTCACCTGTCATTCATCCCTTAATAGGCACATCAGAGCTCACACTGAACACAGACCATGTGAGTATCAGGAATATAGAGAGAAGACAAGAAAACTCCTCTTGGAGAACAATTCTGTGAAAGCAGTGTGTATGGAGAAGTCTTCACCTGTTATTCATCCCTTAATAGGCACATCAGAGCTCACACTGAACACAGACCATGTGAGTATCAGGAATATAGAGAGAAGACGTGAATGCAAACAATGTGGTAAAGCTTTTATATACCACACTTCCATGCAAAATCATGAAATGACTCACACTGGAGAGAAACCCTATGAATGTAAGGAATGTGGGAAAGCCTTCATTTCTCTTACAAGCTTTCGAACACACTTAATAACACACACTGGAAATGGAGCTTATAGCTGTAAGATATGTGGAAAGACCTTTGCTTATCCCAGTTTATGTCGTGTACATGAAAGAACTCACACTGGAGAGAAACCCTATGAATGTACGCAATGTGGTAAAGCTTTTCGTTCTTCCAGTTACTTTCAAGTACACAAAAGAATTCATACTGGAGAGAAACCCTATGAATGCAAACAATGTGGTAAAGCTTTTATATACCACACTTCCATGCAAAATCATGAAATGACTCACACTGGAGAGAAACCCTATGAATGTACGCAATGTGGTAAAGCTTTTCGTTCTTCCAGTTACTTTCAAGTACACAAAAGAATTCATACTGGAGAGAAACCCTATGAATGCAAACAATGTGGTAAAGCTTTTATATACCACACTTCCATGCAAAATCATGAAATGACTCACACTGGAGAGAAACCCTATGAATGTAAGGAATGTGGGAAAGCCTTCATTTCTCTTACAAGCTTTCGAACACACTTAATAACACACACTGGAAATGGAGCTTATAGCTGTAAGATATGTGGAAAGACCTTTGCTTATCCCAGTTTATGTCGTGTACATGAAAGAACTCACACTGGAGAGAAACCCTATAAATGTAAGCAATGTGGTAAAGTTTTTTGTTCTTCTTGTTCCTTTCAAATACATGAAAGAACTCATACTGGAGAGGAACCCTAGTAATATAAATGATGTGGTCAGGCTTTCAGGTGTTGTAAATATACTCAAATATATGAAAAGACACAAAGTGGGGAGAACTTTCTTAATGAAAGAAATGTGAAAATATGTTATCTTGTCTTATATGCATTTGAACACACATGAGAATGCACCGTGGAGGTGGAGCTCATAAGTATAAAGTATGTGCAAAAGGCTTTGATTCTCCTAGATGAATTTAGAATACATAAACTTATACTGGACACTAGTAAAAGAGGAAACAAAAAACAAACACAAATAAAGTAAAAAAAAAAAGAAAAAACAATGAAAAAAGAACTTACACTGGAGAGAAATGTTATGAATATAAACAGTGTAATAAAGCCTTTCAATGTCGCAGTTCTTGTCAAATATTTGAAAGTTTATAATGGCAAGAAACCCTATGAATGTAACAAATATGGGAGAATTCCTCTTAAAGACACAAAAGTGCTCACACTGGAGGAAAATCATGAGTATAAACAATGTGGTAAAGCATTTCATTATATCGGTTAGTTACAAAGATCTGAATTCATACTGTACAGAAACTCGTTGAAATTCAGGAATGTTGGAGAGCATTCTATTGTTCCAGTCCCCTTCAAACACATGAAAAGACTCACACTGTATAGAAGCCCTGTTATGTAGACAGTTTGGTAAATCCTTCCATTGTTCCAGTATCTTTTGAAATCATGAAAGAACTCATACTGAAGAAAAACACTATAAATGTGAGTAATGTGGGAAAGCTTTCCTTTCTCTTTCAAACTTTCAAAGGCACATGATAAAGGATGCTGGTATGGACCTTATGAATGTAAGAAATGTGGGGAAAACATTCAGTTGCTTGTTTCAGTCCCTTTCATGAAAATGAAAGGACTCACACTGCAAAAAAAATCCTATGTGTGTAAAGAATGTGCAATTCCAGTACCTTTCAAATACATGAAAAAACCAATACTGGAGAAAAAACCTACAAATGTAAAGAATGTCACAAAGCCTTTATTCGTTCCATTTCCTTCTCAGGACATGAAAGTACTCATACTTGAGAGGACTCCTACCTAAGAAATGTGGGAATGCTATTATTACCACATAGGCCTTTCTAGCATACATGAGAATGCACAATGGAAAGAAACTGTATAAATATAAAGAGTGTGGGAAAGCCTTTAGTCCTCCCAGTTAAATTTGAAGCCATTAAAGAAGACCCAGAGGAGAGAAGCCTCTTGAATAGAAGCAATGTGCAGTGTTGTTGTAACTTAATAACACTGGATGGAAACCCTGTAAACGTGAAAAATGGAAAAAAGTTTTCAATTTTAACAAATACTTGAAAACTCCCAATGTAGGGAAATCCTGTAAATATAAGTAATTTGAAAAGCCTAATGTAAAGTAATTTGTGTAGTATTCTCAAAAAACACAACTTGAAGGAAATGTTTTAGAAGTTATAAATCAGCACCATGCTCTAAACAACTGAGCTAACTGGCCAGCAGAAGTTATGAATATACTGTCTTCATTGGTGGCTCATTCTTAAAATGGATATCTGGAGTATGAATTTCTAATTGTTACTCAGAAAGAAACATTAAGGTGAGATAATTCTGTAAGTACTGTTAAAATAATAGTGCATGAATTTAATAGGTAGTGTTTTTTTCTTAAGTCAGTTAATAAAATTTTTCTCTTCCCATTTTGAAGCATGGTGGATCTGTGGGTGAACTGAAATGTAGTTCTAATATGTGGTGGGTTTAATTTTAACAATTTAAAAATTGTTCTGTGATTAACATGCCATTGAAAAACGAGTCTTCGTTAATTGTTATGATTTCTTTGTGTCCTTGTGGCAGGTTCTAGATGTTACATGTTCCTTACCCGTTATAGATATTCCACCTTTCTTTCATATGGGAAAACCTTTCTTTTTTTTCATATGGGAAAACCTTTCTTTTTTTCTTTTTAACACAATGAAGTTTATTTTATTTTTGTTGCTAATAAGTAGTTGACATCAATTTCTAAGTCTTTAAAATTAATCATGGAATAGTGTAATGTGAATTAATCTGAGGGGTCTTCAAAAAGTTAATGGAAAACGTATATTATGAAAAAACTATGAATGGATTTCAATTTTTTTCCCACCAAAATAAATCATATTAATTTGTTATAACACATCTGACCAGGATCTAGTTTTACGCACTAAGAAGGATAAGACATTAGTCTGAAAGAGCCCCTATCAGAGCAAAGCAAATTCTGCTAAAATTGAAGCAAGAACAAACATCAAAATTATGGTGATGCTTGGATAGAAAAATGGTAAAATTATTCATGCTTCATGAAAAGTTTATGGGAATAATGCCCCAAAGAAATCAGCAGCTTACAAATGAGCAACTCATTTTTTTTTTTGTCTTTTTTTTTTTTTTTCCTGACCAGCAACGGATCGCAACCCTCAGTGTTGCTCCCGCACCTCGCTCAGCCAGTGAGCGGCCGGTCTGTATGTGGGATCCAAACCCTCGGCGGGAGCGCTGCCATGCTTCCCAAGCAGCTCACTGTAGCAGTGCACCACTGGGCCGGCCCGAGCAACTCATTTTAAGAAAGGATGAGACTATGTCCAAGATGAAGCTCATAGCTGTAGACCATCCACATGAATTTGCAAGGAAAAGACTAAAATTAACAGCAGAAACAATAGCCAACACCATAGACATCTCAACTGGTTTAGCTTACAGAATTCTGACTGAATTTGTTGAGCCAACTTTTCATTCAATGGGAGCCAAAAGTATTTTGTCTTGACCAGCTGCAGACAACAGCAGAGTTTTCAATGGAAATTTTGGACAAGTGGGCTCAAGATCCTGAGACATTTCTTCAAAGAATTCTAATTAGAGATAAAACATGGCTTTACCAGTGCAATCCCGAAGACAGCACAATCAAATCAATGGCTACCATCAGGAGGACATGGTCCAGTCAGAGCCAAAGTAGGTCAGTCAAGAGCAAAGGTCATGGCAATAGTTTTTTGGGATGCTCAAGGCATTTTGCTTGTTGACTTTCTGGAGGGCCAGAGTGATAAAATCTGCTTTATTATGAGAGTGATTTGAGAAAGTTAGCCACAGCTTTAGCAGAAAAAGGCCTGAGAAAGCTTTCACCAGGGAGTTCTCCACCATGACAATGTTCCTGTTCATCTCTCATCAAAAAGGGCAATTTTGCAAGAGATTCATTGGGAGAACATCAGGCATCCACCTTACAGTCCTGATGTGGCTCCTTCTGACTTTGTTTCCTAATTTTAAAACATCTTTAAAGGGCACCTGTTTTCCTTCTGTTAATAATGTAAAAAAGACTGCATTGATATGGTTGAATACCCAGGATCCTCAGTTTTTAGGGATGAACTAAATGGCTGGTATCATTGCTTACAAAATTGTCTTGAACTTGGTGGAGGTTATAATTGACACAATAAACTGCTCATATTCAAACTATGAAATTTCATGTTTTTCTTTCCTGGAGGTTCTAGAAGAATAAAGAAATTTCATACTTTGTCAAATGTATGCACCCATGAAATCGCTACAATCAAGATGTGGGGTAAATGCATCCATTCCCCCCCAAATTTTCTCATGCCCCTTTGTGTTCCTTTCCACACCCCCCACCCCTAGTCCCTGGCACTAAAATAACTGTTTTTGGTTTTTACAGAGCTTTATATTTCAGAAAGTCAAACAGAATTCTATAAAGCATAGCCTTCTGAATTTGGCTTCTTTCACTTCCTGTGTCTGACCTTCCCTGGTGTTTCCTTCAGGCCTGTATAGGACCCTTACCCTACAGATAACTCCCTGGGCCCTTGAATGACACCATCACAATGAATCCATCAAATCACTTTATCTGGCCTGAACCCTACCCCTGGCTTGTCAAATCCAACCCTTTAGTCTTGGATACTGATCCACAAATGCTTCCCTGGGACCTGGTCACCACCTTCAGACCCTCCAATCCTCACTCCAGGGCTCTGGACACCACCCCAGAACTCCAATGCCATTTCCCATGTCTGGTAATCTCCCGAAGACAACAAAGCCCACCTTCAGAGCTTAGATTCTGCCACATATTTTCAAACTTTGCCTTGAGATTCAGAACTCCATCTCCAGCAACTAAGTCAGATCATGGACACTATCTCCCAATCTTAACCTCCTTCCACATGCAGGTCCCTATAGGTTCTCCATGCCCTGGGGGTTGCATTGCATGGCTGGTTGGCCACCAGCGTGGTCTCCTGCAGGTGGGTTGATGGGGAAGGCAGAGAACAGATCCTGCAGCCTGTGGATGGGCCCTACTAAGAGGGAGCAAAGCTGTACTACCCGCCCCACTCCTCACCTCTTTCCTATCTTCTCACCTCTGCCCTCTTCACCTGCAAGTTCCAAAGTTAGGAGGGATTTCATTTTGCTGCCCCAGTTCTCCCCTGGGGCAAACTGGTGCTCCTAGTTTTTCTAATATATAGATACACTTTTCAGACTCAGGGAAATGCAATCAAGGTTCACACTTATTGCCTTAACAACATATAAAAACTTAAGCAATTTACATGAAATTAAATTGAACGGTGTTATTTTTACTTCTATTAACCATTTTCCCCCATATAAAAGTCCTCCAGGAAACTGCCTTGAGCCATTTCCAGGAACGAAATCAGTGAAGCTCCCTCTTGCGGTGATGGTGGCACTAACATCCAAACACTTTGTGGGATGTGGATTTTTCAGGGTTGAGAGAGTATTTACAGCAGGTGCTGTTGATGGTCAATTCAAAATATTCTGTGTGTTCCCTCAATGATCAGGTGACAGATTAAGAGAAAAATAAAATGGATGTGGTACTTAGCACAGTCTATACTGGAAGACAATTTCAAGTAAATAAATCAAGAAACTTGAAAGACTCAAGTGGATTTAACCTGGGTCCTTGAAAGGGAACACTGCTTATACAATGCTTAGAATTTAGATACAGAAATGACTGGATGGGTCGATGGTGGAGGGGGGGGGGATGAGCATTTCAATGGGTAAACTGGACACGTAAATCCCCAGGCACAGAGAACCTGGTGACAACATGAATTTATGGTCAAGAATCCCCTAAAACAGATGAAAAAAAGAGAAAGTTCAAATTGGATTATTTGCTTATATACCAATTTAATAGAAAGAAAATAATAGTTTGCTGGCATCTTTGTTTTCTTTTAGGAATAATTACTTTCCATCTTTCTAATCCCTATAAAGTATCTCAGCACTTTCTTCCTGTACTGTATACATAAACCCACGAGGAAAGCAAGGACTCCATTGGTTTCTCATGCAATGGGATTGAAGGTCATTGTCTCATTTAACTCATCCATGTTGGAGTGAAGCAGGTGAATAACCTGGAGTGTGAAGCAGAGGCCTAAGGCTGAGGTCAGTCTTGAGCCTGCAAAGGGAGGGAAATGAAGTTGCCCTTGGTGCTTCCTGGGGAGCCTTCCCTCCTTGTGGTTAGCCTCTAGAGGCTCGGAAAAACTACAGAAAGAGGGTCGATATTGAGAAGCTGCAGAGCACTAGAAAACAGAAACTCCACATGCAGATTAAAGTTGGGAGGTTCTGTCCTTTCTGAGGTTGTAGCTCTGGTGGCCTTGGGGCTGTTTTCTGGACGGTGCTTTGGTTTTGGTGTGCATAAACTCGGAGTCAGACTGTAACATGTGTATACGAGGAGAATATGGGAAGGTCAGACTTAGGGAAAGGGGCTGTTTTCTGGACGGTGCTTTGGTTTTGGTGTGCATAAACTCGGAGTCAGACTGTAACGTGTGTATACGAGGAGAATATGGGAAGGTCAGACTTAGGGAAAGACTCATTGGATTGTCTCCTGGAGAAATAGTAAATTTGACAATTCATTAGGTTCAGAACCCTAAACTGACTAGGTGAGTTTCCTGCTGGTGAAAATGAAGGTCTTGAAGGGAGGGATCGTTGCTACATTGTGAGTAGAGGACAGGAAGGTATGTTGAGCTCCCAGAGTTTGTTGAGCTCCCAGATCCTTAGGTTTTTCTGCCTCATCACCAGGGTCTGATCCCCTCTGGGCTTCATTTTAGCAGCCAGAATATGTTTAACCTTCTGAATGTAGGTTTTCCTTGTGAATTGTGGGTAGGCAGGCTGCTTATGTGAGTTCAAATGTTTGCTTTTCTTCCCTTTTGATTCCTTTATAGAATATTGCTGCCATATAACTCCAGTTTTTTGCATGTATTTAGTAATTGTATTCCTTTCCTGACATTTTTATATTCTAGGCTGAAAAAGAACTATATTGAGAGATAAGGAGTGAGAAAGCATTTGCCACGCAGCCAACACTCATCTCAAATCCATGACCGTTGGAGGACATTAGGCCATTCCTCCTGTTCAGTGTGGCCTGGCCTGGGCGCTATCTTGCTCTGACACAAGAGGATCTCTCCTTCGGAGCTTGTGTCAGGAGGATGAAGGAAAGATCCATTAGTACAGAAAGACGTCAGTGCCCGCTCTGAAAAGCCAGGAGCAAGTTCTGCCTACCTGCCAGTGCACCCTGACAAGGCCATGGCCCGTTACCTACAACACGAATGACCCTACTCCAAGTCACTCAGGGCCCGGCCTGAAGCGCTAGCCAATCAGACGCGCTAGGGCGGGGTCCTGTTCGAGCAGGCGCATCTCGGGGAGGATGGAGCGGGATTCCCGAATCTCGCGTGATCTTCCTTTCTCGCGCCCGCCCTCCGCTCGGGTGGTTCTCCTCTGGCCTCTCTCCTGTTACCCGCTCTTTCCCCGGAGCCGTTAAGACGGCGCCAGGACTAACGGCTGGCTCAGTCACGTGACCTCTGGCAACTCCGTCACTCGGGCTGGAGGGGGTGGGACTGGAGGAACTGTCCAATCAGATGCGCCGTCGGAAGGGCAGGGGCGCCAACTGCGGCGTCTCGTGGAGGTCGGTTATTCCGGCGGCACGTGTTAGCGCGCCTCGCTTTCTATTAACGACTTTGGCTGGTTTGGTGGAAACCTCTGTCCCCTGTGTCCTGCTTTGACCACGGGGGCCGTAGGGAGGACGCGGGGACACCCCGGAAGCCGGGAAATGGTGAGCATCGGGCGGGCGTCCCGAGGCGGGGAGCGGGGCCGGTTGGAACCGGCCGGAGCCGGCCGTGGCCGCGGGACCCGGGCCTCCCCGCGCTCAGCCCCGGAGTCTGCGGCCCCGAGTCCGCCGCCGGCGCCGCGCGGTCCTCGGTCCCCT